CTGTGTATTCCAGTGTTGTTTCTGCACGTGTTTTCCAACACTTTGCTTGTTCCCGGCACAAAAAAAATGGGAATTATCTGCTGTGTGGTTTTGTTTTTAAGACGAGGGGAAGAGAGACTTTGGTTTTTTTGTTTGTTTGTTTGTTTTTTGGTTTTTTTTTTTTTAGAATTCAAATAATCAGTCTCTGAGGGATTTTTAATATAGGCAAAGTGAAAACGAAGCAATTGGGCACTTCTGTAGCTTTAAGTCTCTCCTGGGCAGGGTGACCTCTCTTAAAGGGTATTTTTTCCACACACTCAGTCACTGCTGTTGTGTCCGGAATTGGGGCCAAGAGGAGAATTGTGTGGCAGAGCTTGGAAATTTGTACCTTAGGCCTTGGCAAGCAGGACTGATGACTTCCTTAAGTATTTAGATTAAATCTAGTTCAACTGAACGGTTGGATTTCTTTCTAATTCTTTGTGTACTGGCTTTGAAATAAAAGCTTACTAAGCTTCATGGCCACAGTGGTAAGAGTGTCTGCAAAGATGCTGCAGTGGTTTTTAAGCTATATATGGACTTTGTGTTAGTAACTCCTGCTCAGAAAAAATACTTTTTTCCCAGGAAGTGTTTGTCTTTCACCCTAGAAATGTATTTGCATCCTCACAGATTATTTTTGTCCCTGGATTTGTGTTTTGGAATACTCCAGAGAAACTTTCTCACCTGCCACTATGGTGGAAGGAGGTAGCTTGTGCAAATTGGAGCAGTGCAAAAAGTGGTGGACTGGTGGATAATGGGTGAAGCAGGTTGCCTGTCAGTGTGGCAAAACAAGTGCCATAAAATGATGTAGAGGAACGTAGGTGGAAAAAGACAAATATTATGGAACAACCAACATCTGGCACAGCTGTCTTGCTCTGTGACCGTGGGAAAGTCCCTGCTCTGGTAAACAAGCTGTAAGTGGCAAGCACATAATTAATCAGTAATCAGTAAAGGGCTCGAAAATACTTGAAAGAAGCCCTCCGTGGTAACACAATGCACAGCAATAGCTGTAGAAAAAAAGTGATCTCTGAGATTATTCTGGGGCCTGTGACTGGGAGAAGCATTTAATTTAGAGCTTTTTCACTCGTGCTGTTTTAGAAACAGTCCAGACTGTCAGCTCAGAGGAAGTAATGATCTAAAAGCATATAATATTTTTAACGTCCTTCCTCCCCTTCCTTCTCTGATTTTGCCATTCCAAAGGCAGAGCAGCTTCTGGTTTTTAAGCAGCTTCAGAGCCCCCTCTGCTGGAATGCTGCTGGCAGCCAGGCCCAGCCGTGGCAGCAGGAAGCTCCGGGGCACACCTGCTTCTCCCGGCCGAGAACGGCTGCTGCAGCGTTTTACAGGAGTTCCAGGTGATTCATGTCTCTGCTGAGGGGGGAGATACATCTGGGCCCATATATATCCTGCCATGCTGTCCTACAGCTGGGTAATGGTGATGGTGTTCCATCCTCTTTGTTTTCAAAGCTGAGAACACAACAAGAAACTTTTAGGAGAGACAAGAACTGCCTGGGATTAATGAGATTACTCTTACATCTGCTGAAAACAGTGCAAGACCCTTTCTTGCATCCTTTGAAGATCGGATCCCTCATCCCTGGCAGTGTCCCAGGCCAGGCTGGACAGGGCTTGGAGCAACCTGGGGACAGTGAAAGATGTCCCTGCCGTGGCAGGGGGTGGCATGGATGGGCTTTAAGGTCCTTCCAACCCAAACCATTGAAGGATTCTCCAGTTCTGTTTACAGAGTTTCTCCTCCTTGCTCCCTTCTGTGGCTGTGGAGTCCAAGATGTAGAATAAGGAAGTTTTGGCATGGGACAAGCAGGCTCAGCCTGGAGCCTGCTCAGCTCCCCAGGAAGGATGTGTCTACCTAAACAAGAAGGGAAGCAGGAAGGAAAGAAGAAACAGCACATCTGATAGCAAGGAAAAGGGGCTCTTTGAGTCAGGTATGCTTCAGAAAATGCCCCAAAGGTCTACTCCAGATTTCCTGTGTAACTTCTAACAAGTCGCTGACTTTCTGTACAATGCCCTTAAGTCCCTAAAATAGGGATTGCACTTCCTTTTCTTAGTTGATGCTGTGTGACAGCATTGAACTATTAGGCCTTATAAAGTTCTTTTAAAACAAATGGGCTGACTGGGAACACAGAGTCACAGACTGGAGAGTCTTTGTGAATATCTTTACTGATGGTTTTATATTAAATGGCATCAGACAATCTGAATAAATTCAAGAATTAAGTGTGTTCTGCAGGTGCTGTTTACAGGAGTGAAGCTTCTCTGCTGAAAGCTGCAGCTTTGGAAGGATGTGGACAATTCAGGTGGAAAACCACGGAATATCAACTACTGTAAAACAACCTGATCCTCATCAGGAACTGCAATGGCAGGACAAAAAGAACTGGGTTCAGACTGATAGAGAGAAGGATTCAATGGGATATTTCCTCTCTGTGGGGGTGGGCAGGCCCTGGCACAGTTGCCCAGAGCAGCCCCTGGATCCCTGGCAGTGCACAAGGCCAGGCTGGATGGGGCTTGGAGCAGCCTGGGACAGTGGAAGGTGTCCCTGCCATGCCAGGGTGGCACTGGGGGGTCTTTAAGGCCCGTTCCAACCCAAACCCTTCTGGGGTTCTGTGATTATGCACAAAACCAGTACAGTATTAAGTACACAGTAAAAGTCAGAAAGGAATTATTTTTTTTTCTCAAGTTACACAAAAAAGGGGCGCTGATTCTGGTAGAAATTTGGATTCCAGTTCAGGAAAGATTTAGCAGCTTGGTGAGGGGAAAAAAAAGGTGTGAGGGTCTGTAGTGGTCCAAAAAAGTCCTGATGGCACTTGCATGTAGATAGTGACGCGAGAATGTCTGTAAAATGGGGAAACCACAAATCAAGAAATAAAATTGTTAGTTTACACATTAGGCTTGACAGGTGGGTGAAGTGATGAGCTGTTAAGGACAAATCATTCTATTTTCAATTTGGTAAAAGATGCGGGGAAGCTTCAGTGAAATGCAGATGCCCTGGGCAGTTGGAGGTGGGAAGAGCGAGTTCCACCAGAGTGTGTCTTCTCCCATCTGCCAGGAGCTTCTGGCTCCTGTCACAAGCTGCCACTTGCCACTCTACTATCTTTTGGACTTGGGAAAGCAAGTTTCTGCACAAAGGACATGGAATCATTCTCATTTAGCAGGCCAAGCTAGGCAAAAATAGCAAATGGTGAGGTGATGATGGACTGGTTTAAAATCAGGGCTGGTGCAGTGGGGAATTGATACTAAATTTCTGTCTCCCGGGGTATGGGTGGGCTCTTCCCTCTCTTAGAAAAGCCTTTTTATAATGATCCTGGCACAAAGAGCCAGCATTAAAATCAAATTTGGTGATGAACAAAAGTGGGAGGCTTCAGTAATATGAGGGAACTGAGTATCTTGGAGATTGGATGACTGAAGAGTGAGAAATAGAGATGAGATTAAATGTGGCAGCAGAGAGTGCAAGGATGTGAATTTAGGGACAAGGAGGAGACTGTGGAGGATACCAAGAGTATTTTATTGGAAATTAGTAAGGAAAGGAAACTGAGATTTAGTGGTTGATAAAAGATAGTGATAAGCCATCATGAAGCTGTGAAACAGCATGTCAAGAAGTGGTTCCAAGATCAATAATGATGCTGTCGAATGAGAGAGAAATTCAAACTGGAACAGGGACAAAAAGCTACCAGCTTGATACCACAAATACAAGGCTTGTATTAAGAAGGGAAAGTGGCTGTGTCTGTGGATCCCTTTTCCTATTTCCGTGTCTACCTGGTATGATACTCTAAGAGCTTTTTACTACTTCGACAGTGAAAATAAATAAAAATTTTAAATTACATTACAGATAATGTTGTCATGTTTTGACTAAGTCCCAAATTCCTCCTGATGTGTAGGTTCAGATTCCTGCACTTGATCACACTTTTGAGCAATTTCCCTTTCCAGCCTAGTTTTCTTCTCTGGGTTCCGTGACCCCTTTGACATTGCTGCTGTGCTGTTTGTGAGCAGAGCCCTGCCAGGCGTTTGGCAGATTGAGAAGCAGCAGCTGAAACATCTGCTCCAGGTGGGTTTCCCAGCAGCAGGGCGGCCCTGACCACAACAGGGAGTCGGGTTGGGCTTCTTTTCAAAACAACAAACCCCTTCTGCCGTTCCTTCGTGGGAAGGACACTGAAAATTCCATCCTGCAGGTGGGACAGACACAAGCTGGGAGGGGGCAGGCTGGGGGTTGCTTTAAAAGATTTGATTCATTTAAACACAGCCTGTGGCAGAGGGGAGAACGAGATGATCTTTAAGGTCCCTTCCAAGCCAAAACATTCACGATTCAGAGAATTCCTGGCTTAGGCTACATGATGACAGCACACTGTGCTGTGTGAACAGTTACCCGGTAGTTGCATCAGACGCAGTCCAGGATGACTTTTTAATTATAATTTATTAGTTAATTTTAAGAGAACATTTATTCTCGTTAGCCCTGCGGCCTGGTTCGTAGAGGTGTTTCAGTGCAGGTGCAGCACGGGCAGAACAAAATTCCATTTTTCCTTTCGGCCCCCGTGGGCGGAGCCGCGCCGCCGTCCGTCACTCTGACTGACAGCCGCGTGGGGGGGTTGTTTTGTGGGGCCCGGCTTCTTGCGGGCGGGGGGCGTGGCTCCGCCGCGGCGCGTCGGACCCCGTGATTGACAGCCGGCTCCGCGGGGAGGCGGGGCGGGCGGCGCGGCTGCTCGCGCGCCCATTGGCCAGCAGCGCCGTCGGGCGGGCGCCGCGTCGGCGCTGATTGGCGGGCGGCGGCGGGTGCCGCTGTGATTGGCAGGAGGCGGCGGGTGCGCGGCGGCCGCCGAGCGGTTTGTTTTGCGGGCGGCGGCGGCGCGGCCGGCCCGCACGGACCGGGCACCGGGCAGCACCGGGCCGCACCGGGCTCCGGGCCGCACCGGGCACAGGGCCGCACCGCAGCGCCCGCCCGCCGCTCCCGGAGCGCGGCCGCCGGCAGCAGGCGGCGGCGCGGGGCCTGGGAATGTGGCGGCGGCGGCGGCTGTGAGCCCTCCCCTCGGCCCGGCCGCCATGGAGCCGCGGCGGTGACAGCGCCGTTCCGCAGCGCCCGCCGCGAGCGGGGCCGCCGCCCGCGGACATGGGTGAGCAGCGGCGGAGAAGCCCCGGGGGCCGGGGCCGCGTCACGGGCCGGGGCCGCTGCGGGCGGGACGGGGCGCGGGGCTCGGCCGGGCCCCGCTCCGGGCGCCGCCGGGGGGGAGCGGTGCATTTGCTAGGATTTGGCCGAAGTGGCTAAAGTCGGGTCTTGCCGAAGGTGCGGTGCCCCGCCGAGCGCGGGGCTCTCCGCTCCCGACGCGGCTCTTACGGGACGGGAGTTGTGCTCAGGCTGACTTGGAGACATTTCTAGTGTTACGTGCAGCTTGGGAGTCCATCGCGAAAGATTTGCCTTTATGGAACCCCCCCCCGAGTTCTCATTTGCCATTCTTAGCCCAGACGGCCACATGTAAAAACAAGCAACGGAGTTGGAAGAACTCTTTTTCAAGAGGAAAAGGTTCTTATGAGGAGCTGCCATGACTGAATTTGATTGATTAAGTAAAATTAATTTGGATTTGAAGTGTATGTCCTGTATAAAGAACTGCTCTAGGGAGGGGGTCTTGTGCTTCCTAATTTCTTTTTCAGCTTAAAGAGAGGTGCTAGAATTAAACTTTTGATTGCTCTAAACCAGAACTTAACTTATACTTGTTTATTGGCAAGGAAATTCCTGCTTTTCTAAGTCTGGAGTTTCATGGTTTCGTGGGCTACAACTTAAACGTTTCTTCCCAACAACCAAGTTTAGTTTTCTGAGACTCTCCTTCATTTAGTCTGTATGCATAATTAGCTTTTATACTTTAAATTCAAAAAGCGTTGCAAATGTTATTCTACAACTACTTCAATATCTCTTTACTCTGTTTTGATTTGTAAATACAACAAATTCATGCAAATCCATCACTAGATTTCTCTGCTACAAAGAGGAATAGTGTAATGCACTCTGTTTAGAGTAGCAGGGTCCTTCTATATTAAAATGGTTTAGAAGTAGGAACTTGGATTTCCATGAAAGTGTCTTCCAATAGCAATTGGACCTGTGTTTGTAAACATGTGAGGGCAGAATGAAAAAATACAATTTCATGGACCGTTCCACCATAATCTGGTGTTCCATAACCCACCTGAAGGATGCGTGGGGTGATTGGTGGCAGAGTTTGCAGGAGCTCCAGTGGTTCAGCCACTCACCTGGAGCGGTTCCTGGGGTTTGTTTCCCTCTGGACACTCCTTGGCAGGCTGGAGAAGGGGGATCTGCGGCCCTGAGCTGTGCGGGGTGAGCTCTGCGGGTTTGGGGGCGCAGGCCCTGCTCCCTGCAGCCTTCCCTGCTCCGCTGGCTTTTCCTGCCTGTGTCACTTCCTTCCCTTGGCTCACCCAGCGACAGTGCGGAGGGAGCGTGGCTGAGCCCGTGGGCAGGACAGCCTCAAACCCCACAGCCCAGGACAGCCTCAAACCCCACAGCCCAGGACAGCCTCAAACCCCACAGCTCAGGATAGTTTCAAACCCCACAGCCCAGGATAGTTTCAAACCCCACAGCCCAGGATAGTTTCAAACCCCACAGCCCAGGACAGCCTCAAACCCCACAGCTCAGGATAGCCTCAAACCCCACAGCCCGGGACAGCCTCAAATTCCACAGCCCAGGATAGTTTCAAACCCCACAGCCCAGGATAGTTTCAAACCCCACAGCCCAGGACAGCCTCAAACCCCACAGCCCGGGACAGCCTCAAACCCCACAGCCCAGGATAGTTTCAAACCCCACAGCCCGGGACAGCCTCAAACCCCACAGCCCGGGACAGCCTCAAACCCCACAGCTCAGGATAGTTTCAAACCCCACAGCCCAGGATAGTTTCAAACCCCACAGCTCAGGATAGTTTCAAACCCCACAGCCCAGGATAGTTTCAAACCCCACAGCCCAGGACAGCCTCAAACCCCACAGCCCAGGACAGCCTCAAACCCCACAGCCCAGGCCTTTCCCCTGACCTGTGAATGGAACAGGGACCCTCAATGCATCCTGCGAGCATAAGCCTCGTAGAGCTCTCTGTTTTTTTCTCTCACTCTACAAGCCAGGTCCTTTGGGATTTCCTGAAGCTTGCACACAGCAGCATTTTGGTACCACTAAAACTGCCCATGGCAAAGGACTCAAAATGAAACTCTTTTCAAGGCTTTTTTGAGGCCTTTAACATAGACACAATTTGTCTAAAATTTCCTTATTGTTCCCGGATCTGCCAATCACTCGCCCAAACCAGCTTTGCTGTTGTGGTGGTAGATAACAAATACACAGATGTGGTCACTTTCTCTTTTACACCAAAGTGGCATCATGTATCCCACTGTGACACCATATAAAACACGATCCAGATAAGGGGGGTTCAGACATATGCAGATACTTTTGCGCTTCTAACTTTGTGATTATTTTTTTCCTTTTTCTAAACTGTTTCCATTTCTGACTTGTTCAGACCTGTGTAATAAACCACGGATTGGTTGAAGTAAATGCTTTGTGGAGAGGAACAACTTTCTCTGTGAGCAGCAGTTCGCTTTTATCGAAGTTATAAAAATCCTTGAGTGTAGTTTTTAAAACATGAAAAGCATTTCCTGGACAACATCTTTCCCGCACAAAGCAGAACTGTGTTTCCCAGACCGACTGGAGACCAGGCAAAACAGGGTCTCTCAGTACTCCAAAAATTGCTTCATTTTCATTTGTAGCAGCTTCTGCATTGTGCAATTAATGTAATGCTGCTCCACGTGCTGCTCCAAGTCTGTCTATGAGAATCCTCTGTTGGGATGGAACTAAAGAAGTACTCATACTTCTCAGCATTGAATTCATCACTCTGCTGTCCTCACCAGATACAATTTTTCCCTGCACAAGCTCAGATCAGGTTTGACTTTATCCTTTTAAGAGATAAATATTCTGTCATGTCCTACCTCATCAACATAGGGGTGAATTACAGGATGTATGGTTTAGTAGTAGGGAACCAATAGCTTCGTGTAAAACTACTAGAAAAGGTATAATAAGATTCAAACTCACCTGAAGTTGTTCCATGCCCTTTGTTAGAACATTGACTGTTCCCATATTATGAAGATAAATAATATTTTGGTGTTAGAATGACAGCAGTGAGTAAGATACAGACCTTGCAGGGCACTAACTGGGGTAGAACACCTGCAGCCAGCCATTGCAACCATTGATCTTTGTTTTCCAGTAATTATACTGTTTAGAGGAGAATTCTTCTTCCCAGACATATTCTTTGATGGACTTGATTTCTTGTCATCAGCCCTCAGTTATAAACTGCTTTCTTAGCTCGTTTGCTTCTTGCCCAAAGGAGCTCTGCCAAGACAAGCTCTTCTTCATCCTCCTGGTATCTGGCCAAACCCAAACTGCACTGTAGTGGAAAACTTGTAGCCCGGCTCTTCCCTGAGTGTTTTGGGTGGTAGGAAGGTTGGTGATGTTCCAGGCCATAGGCTGTAGTATTTTCTTGTGCATGGTTTCAGCCTTTGTCTGTCAGGTGACTCCAAGACTGCTCCTAATACCATCAAAATGAAAGAATACCAGTAAATTGGCGACACTCCAGTAAAGGTAAAAGGTTAAATGTTCAACTGTAAAGTTGGAAAGTTAAAAAAAAAAGGAAGGAAAAAGTTGTGCCATTGCCCACCTGGAACTTTAGCTTCATTCACAGCTGTTTCTTCAGATTTTCATCCCACAAGGGGTTACTTAGTGCTGAGATAGATCCCAGCACTTATTTCCTTTGGCTGATGTGCTTCTCAAAAAGCAGCCTCTTGCTTTGGTTGTGTTACACCGCTTGCTTCTTTCACATGCAGTTGGAATGTCAAGGAGTGCTCTCCCTTCTCTGCTGCCACAATGTGGTTATTGTCTCATTTGGCTTGTCTTGGACAGCAGAGATTTGGTGGGTTTTGATTTGGATTTTTTTATATTCTCTGCTCTGCGTTCCTTTTTTAAGATTTTTTTTCTGTAATTAACACCTTCTGCAAATTCATTGGGAGATTTCTGTTCCTTCCCTTTCATGATCTGGTCTAGGCTTGATGTTTCTGGTGCAACATTCTGGATTCCACAGTGGATGTATCTGAGATGTTGGGTGCTCTCAGGACCAAGTTAGGACTCACTTCCAGTGCCTGAAGAGAGCCTGCAAGAAGGGTAGAGAGAGACTTCACAGGGGCCTGAGTGGACAGGACACAGGGAATGGCTTCCCATTGCCAGAAGGCAGGGATAGATGGGATCCTGGGAAGAAGTTCCTTTCTGGGAGGGTGGGCAGGCCCTGGCACAGGTGCCCAGAGCAGCTCTGGGTGCCCCTGGACACCTGGCAGTGTCTCAGGCCAGGCTGGACAGGGCTTGGAGCAGCCTGGGACAGTGGAAGGTGTCCCTGGATGAGCTTTCAGGTCCCTTCCAACCCAAATCATTTTGGGATCCTGTGAAAGCTAAAACAGACCTGGGCAGAAACCATTGGTTTTAGCAAAGATAATCCTAATGTGACTTTTGTTCTGACTGGGCCTTCTTCAGATGTTTCCTCCTTACAAAAGGTGTATTTTTCCCGTTCTGCTTTTAACTTGTAGCAGGATCTGCTCCCTGCGTGCTCTACAAACCGTATGTGTCCCACATCTGTCATCTTTAAGCATTGCGAAAATCTAGTTTGTTATTCAGACATTGATTAATTATGAAGCTAGCCTTCTGCATAAAACATAAGCTAACTGCTTTGGAAAGACTCGTGAACAAATACACAACATGAAATTGCAGAAACAAATAGTCCCACTGAATCCCTTTTACAGAGAAGTTCCAATTGTTGTTCAGCAGCTGTTCCCAGGATAGCTCTTCCAAAAGCAAGTGCTTACCCATCAAACCGTTGCCATGAATTCAGGGATGAGTGTGTAGCCAGGGTGGATTCTTAAAATTAAGTTTCAGTTACTTACAAATCAGCTTCAAAAATGCTCATTTCAATTCAAACGTCTCAAAGTGACATAGTGAGGGACAAAAGGAGGAGCTGTGCAGGAGGCACTGCACACCATCGTGGGAGCAGGGCTGGGAGAACCTCATCTGGCTCACATCACTTCCAGAAGTCCCAATTATCAAAAAGAAAAAAAAAAAAAAAGCTTTTCTTTCAAAACTAGGGTTCAGGTCCTCCCAAACTCTTTTAGAAAGGGCAGATTCTCCTGGGCATATCCAGAGCTGATCAAATCATTGCTTCAAATTCCATGCCTAAGTAATGCCTTAATACCAGGAAGGATTTAACTGGGTGTATTGTTTGCCAAGGAAACAGCACTTTATTCCTAAAACCTTTATGAGTCTCGGTATGTGAGACAGCAGCCGGGCAATCCAGAGGGCTGGAGTGTGCCAGGAGCAGTGACAGCATGAGGTGCTGCTTTGTTAGCTGTGGCACAGTGCCTGCAGCCAAGTGCCCAGTGCAGTCCCATTTTGGACAGAACTTCACTTGGCAGCTTCCTTTACCTTTTGCAGTATCAAGGAGTTTAGGGTCATTACGTATGCTCGAGGAAAGGATTCATTTCCATAGCTTTTAGACCTTCATGTGCCATCCATCACAGCCCAGCTACTGTGCATTTCTCTCCTTTTACATCTTTGTTTTTTTCTCTAAGCACAAAGTTATGCTAAGTATTGCTTCTCAAAGTGAACAGGCAATGGGAGGGAATACTTTAAATTGGTTACATCAGGAATCCTCAGAAAGTAATTCTTAGTGGAACATACAAGAGAAAAATCAATGTGTGTTTTTATATAGCTGCAAGGCAAGAAACCTTGAATTGAACCTGCTGCATTGTACTTTGCCAGCAGTGTTCCTTGTGCTGATCTTGAAATCTCATAAAATGGTTTGAATTTTATTCCATCAGCTTGTTCTGAGGGAAGAGAGGAACGTGTTGGGGCAATCAGTGCAAGTGGATTTGTGTTCACAGATACTCCAAGATGAATCTTCGTCCGGATTTTCATTTCTCTTTCTACTGGCCATGGTTTGTTCCACTAGCAGGCAAGAATTCAGAGTTAGCAGGATATAAAGTGGGAAAGAACAGACTTTTACCAGGTTTTTCCTTGACAGAAGCACATCAGTTTGCCCTTCCTAAATGACCTGTGATGGTCTAGCAAATCTGTCCAGGTTTTATTGTTCATTGTGAAGACTTTTGAACAGAATTAGGGGCTGGTGGTATTCATTCTCATCTGTACTCTGGCCAGATCCTTCTATGGTATTGGATGAGTGACTTAACATTTATCTGTCAATTTATTATGTCACGATATTCAGTTAAGTTTGGACTTTCTTATGACTAAATTAAATCACAGTGTATTTGCAAAGGTCCTAAAAAAGGATTGTTGCTCTGTGAGCCAGCAGAAAACCGGTGTAGAAGTGTCAGAGGTGCAGAACTGGCTGGTGCTCACTCAGACAACTTACTCCTGAAATTCTTGTGAATCACAGATGAACAAGAGGCTTTGCAGTCCATCATGAAGGACCTGGTGGCACTCCAGATGGGCAGGCGTCACCGGCTGCCTGGGTATGACACCATGAAGAACAAAGACACTGCTCACTCCAACAGACAGGTAATGGGGCAGGCAGTGATACCTGAACTGGGGACCAGGGCAGGAGGATCTGACTGGCTCACAGCCTTGCCTCTGTCTTGTGCTTCCAACAGCCAAAGCATCAGGTGGGAAGTAGCTCCTTGATCCTGCTCAGGCTGTGGCAAATATGGTAGCTTTTCTCCTTCTTAGATTTTAATATAAGATTAATGATTACCATATCATATAAACTGTATATATCTGCTATACATTTATGTAGTTTAATAAAATATTTAGTATATATTACATTATACATGTATGTATACTGCATTCTCCCCATATGTATTTTTTATGGGGTTTGATCTGCCCAGCTGAAAAATTTAGCAAGTGGCTTTCTGATTTCACAGTCAAATTTCCATTTTTTAAAGTTACTTTATTCTTTTTTTTAAAGAAAAAACACAATGCCAGCAGTCCCCCCCTCTTGGGCAGCCCTGCAATAATGAACCAGTGTGCCTCTGCAGTGGAAGAAAAAAAAATCCCGGTAAGAAAACTGATTTCATTTCCATATTAGCCATTATAAATTAGGAGTATGTCTTCAAGTGCAGTGACTTTATGGAATTCCTTTAAGCAGGTGGGAGGCGGGCAAAGCTTTTCTTCCCTGACTCTGTCCTGGTGTGGCAGTGTGTGCATTTTTATTGTGGGGTCAGGATTAGGGGGAAAGGCCTTCAGCTGCAGGAGGGCAGGGCTGGATGGGAAGTGGGAAGAAATTCCTCCCTGGGAAGGTGGCAGGCCCTGGCACAGGTGCCCAGAGCAGCTGTGGCTGCCCCTGGATCCCTGGCAGTGCCCAAGACCAGGCTGGGCAGTGGGAGGTGTCCCTGCCATGGCAGGGTGGCACTGGCTGGGATTTGAGGTCTCTCTCAACACAAACCAGTCTGTGACCCCCGAGGTGAGGAGTGGTGGGTCAAAGCTTTGAGCTCTTGTTGGGTTCATTCCACTTTTCTCCAGACTTTTTCATGGAGAAAACAATGATGTTGATGTTCTGGGAAGAAGGAAAGACAGAATAGTGCAGCTTTGTCTGGAGATGCTGAATGTCATTTAAATGAAATGCTCAAAGCAAAAGCAACAATTTTAGTCAAAAACTGTTTGTCCATTACTGTCATTCAAAATTAAATCAAGTTACTGGCAGGAAGACTGGCATGAACAGAAGTTTCCTATATCAGTAAAATAACCCTTCTCAGTTTTATTCCTGTTACAGGTTTAAGCTTTTTGGAGCAGGCTTTGAAGTTCATGTCTCTCTTCCTTATGCTTTGCCTGCTCATAATCTACTTGCTCAACTGGATCTGGGATTTCCTTGAATGTGTTGGACAAATCCATAGATGAAGTAGTAAAAAATCCTTTCCAAATCACTTTGAAACAGAAATCCAGAGATGCCTTAAATCAAAATCTATAACTGTGATTTATGATACCACATCTCAGAGCTGGAACACTGAAGTGCTAAACTTGGATTTGCCTTTTTGATATCTCTGAGGACAGTTTATGTGAATTGCTTTAAGAAGTGATGGGTTCACTGCTTTCAAGGGAACCTGAAAACACTGGATACGTAGTTCCTCTGGGCTTTCTCTAGAATAGGAACACCAAGATCACTCTGACCACCTTTTCTTAGATCTTTGATAAGTGGACATGAATGGGCAGTGTCAGGTCCTTTTGGAAAAGTGAAGTGATAAATTCCAAATTCCATCCCCTTTTTCCTTTACTCCAAATTACAGGTTTCAAAGCAAGCAATGGAGTTGAGAAAAAGTTTGGAGTTTGTTTGAGTACCAGCAAGTTACAGAGAGGATTCCAAAGAGGTCTGGGGATCCTTTAGTGTTGTCTAATTTCAGCTGGTGAGAGCTATGTCACTTAGCTGCTCCAGGGCCTAAATCACGTCAGAAATTTAATCTGAAAAATGGTGTGAATTCCATTTCATCCAAACTGTCCTGTTTAGTTCCTTCAGTCCAGACTACTTAAAGTAGTATAATGTTAAAACAAAACCAGGGCCTTACTTTCCTGAAAATCCTGCTCTAAAGTGATCATTCCTTCAATCAATGTCTAAGAACAATTTTTTGATCTGGAGTTGGCTGGTAGACATCCTTTATAGGATGTTATTCCTGTGCTGTTTGCTGCATTGTTCCTTTACTGATCAATTCAAATGGGTTCTCTAGAATTGGTTTCATTTTGGAGTAGTTCTAGACTAAGTTCTTTCTCTTCCCACTCTAAAAAAACACTCTTTAAAGTTATGTGTGAGTGATGCACCTGCAGCTAGTCGTTGCTGGGATTGGGAAGGTAATTTTCCCTGCTCCATGCTGCAGGAATTCCGTGTGCTCCCAGGGACTCCGTGGGTCCTTTTGAACTGCATTCTTGACCACTGGGCCTGCCAGAAACTTCCTCCAGCTAAAGAGCATTTCCTGGCCACGTTTTTTTTGAAGTTCCTAGATGTATGATTGCCTATTGTCTGAGGCTTTCACAGATGGCTTAATCTATTCCAATCACATAAATTGTGCAGCAGAAATGATGGAGTCTTATCAGAGTAGATTTTTCCCTTTTATTTTTATCTTTCTAACCTAAATTGGGATTTGAACTTCAATGTCCAGAGTTGAAAGTTCAGCTTGTTGACTCTTGCATGCCACCCAGCATCTTCTGAGTTTGCTGGTTGCACGGTTGGTGCTTTTAATTATCAGATGGTGGTGATGACCCCTGTGCTGAAACCTTAGAACGACATAGAATCAACCTGTTTGTAGCTCTGAGTTTCAGGGGTTGCATTTTTGCAAAAGCAGAGATTTAGTCCATGTCTTAAGAATAAAGAATAATAAATAGGAATAAGAATTCAAAAGTAGGAGTAGGAATAAAAAATGTAGCACATTCACTCTCTGTCTTCTGCCATGCATGCTTTGAGCATGCTTAAAGAAAATTGCCTTCAGCTTAATAAGCAGGTAGGACTGAATTTCACATTTTTCCCATGCAGTGTTAAAGATTTTTTTTTTAGTTTATTTCAATGTCCTCTGTTTTAAGTGTCAGTTTACAAAAATCACAGCTTAGTTTTTACCCTTTCCTTCTCTTCCTCCCTCAGCAGTTTCTCCATTCCTCGCGTGTTGTGTCCATGTATCAGCCACTTGTTTCCACAGTCTGCTTCAGCTTCTGTGGAGAAAGTTAAAATACTAAAATCATAATATGGCATTTGTGTGCTGTTGTGTGTGCCAGAGTTTGATTGTGAGCTCACCTTTTGTTCTTCCTCCTGCAGAATGATGTCAGGATAAAGTTTGAGCATAATGGGGAGAGACGGTAAGTTGGCCTTCACTGCTTTGATTCTTTGCTTAGGAGAGTAATTTAGTCATTGGTAATTTAGCTTAAATATTTTGTTGGCCTTGCTTTCCTTTTTCCTGAATGGAAATCACACAGTGAAGGCAATAGCAAACAGCTCACACACAACTTGGTTATTTTTGGGGATCAGTGTGTCATAAAGAACTGATTTATTTCCATAACATTTATGTGTAAGTGAACTGCAGCATTTTTTAAAGCTGTCCAGCCTGAAATAAGTTCACCCTGAAAGTCTTATTTCAGATATGTTCCCATTTTGTCTCATTTAACTGAAACCAAATGAAGCTGATCAAATCAGCATCATTCTTTTCTAGTTTCTCATTTCCTGATGCCCTGTCACTATCACTGCCCTGCTGTGATTGAGCAATAGATAGAGCAAGGGAAGATTTTTTTTTTCATTGGTGTAAAAGCTTCTTTGTTATTTCCTCTGATATTTGGTTTTGAGAGACATTCTTTTACAAGAAAATAAACCTGAAATAACTGAAATAGTAGTTTTGGTTTTTACAGCATTGTTTACAATGGATAAAAATGCTGAAATATTTCAAAGTAGGTCCCAGAAAACCTCTTATTTGCTATCAATTCAAGAGGAACTCTTGAAACATTTAATGACTTGTGGCTGTGTGAACCACACAGCTCCAGGCTTGTCTGTGGTCTCTGGGTCTGCTCTCACTGAGGGAAAACATGATCTTGATGCTGGGTTGTAGTGTCCACATTTTGGAAGATATTAACTGGGCTGTAAGTGTGAATGTATGTGCTATCTTCACAGCCATCTTGAGGGAATCCTTTGGTTTCTCCCAGGCCAACATGAAGTGGTTGGCAATTTCAAGATAAAATGCAAATTTAATGTCAGTGGCACAGGAGGACAAGTTGTCTGTAGTGATCCTCACAGCCCGTTCTAGCAGAGGGTACTGGCCGAGTTGTTGAAGCTCCTCCTTGGTCAGATTTTGGGATTTCTGTTAGGAAAGCAGAGCTGTTCTTTGTTGGCAGAGCAGGCTGTGGAGAATAATTTCTACTCTTCCTCAAAACTTGAACTGTTTCTTTCACTGAAATCCTATGTGGTGAATTCTGTCAGTGACTTCTTGTGCTGTGGGAGAAATTTTCCAGGTGATCATCACTGGGATTTGCTTCCTCCTTTGTCAGCCAGGTCTGCTCAGCACTCTTCTGTGTCAGGGGCTTTGTGGGGACAACAGCAGAGCCACAGTGGGACATGTCACAATTACTTGTCACACTGTCACCACAGGCTTATCATCTTGCCTGTCTGCAAGGGGGACAGAGGGGTTTTCTCCTGTTTTTTTGGGTTTTTTTTCCCTAAAATGAAAAGGTTGATTGTATGTCAGTCTAATTATGCAGTTGTGCTTGCCTGAATTCCCTGCTCCCAGCACAGTGTGCAGTTCCAGACAGGGAGCTTGCACCAGAATGTCAGTGTGTGTGCTTGGTTTCACTGGAGCTGCCAGATCTAACCACAAATATTTAAGGTGGTCAGGCAGGAATGGGCTCCTTAAGCCCTGCAGTCCATGATTTTGTGTTAGAGGAGTGCACAGAGTTTTTAAACTAATAAAATTTGTGGCACCTGAGAACAGCTCTGCTTTTGAAAGCATTGAGTGTAGAAAGGGAGCCTTTATGAGGGACTGAGAGCCACATGGCGTTTGTGTGGTGCCAGAGTACTGTGATTTCATGTATGGGTTTCTTAGGAATATGTAGAAAATGTTATTGTGGGCTGCTTTTTAACAAGGACAATTATTTCCAAACAGCTGAATGTTGTAGGTCTGGTAGCAGGATAACCCTTCATGGGAAGGGCTGAGGAAGCCAGCTAACACAAGGGTAGTTTAAAACAAAAGCTGCATCTCTTGAAAGGACAGCCAGGGCTGATGAAGCTGTGTGGGTGGATGGCTGGGAAGCCAAGCCTTCTCTCCAAAGCACAGGTTCATCACAGAGCCATAGAATCCAGGATGGTTTGGGTTGGAAGGGCCACCAAAGACCCAGTGCCACCCCTGCCATGGCAGGGACGCCTTCCACTGTCCCAGGCTGCTCCAAGCCCTGTCCAGCCTGGCCTGGAACACTGCCAGGGACCCAGGGGCAGGCACACTTCTATCTATGGCCCCTACAGAAAGCCCCTGTCCCTCCCTTTCCCCACAAACTCCTGTGAGATAATTCAGGGTCTCACTGAATTGCCTCTGTGAGCAAGAACAGGTCTTGAGTTTCCGTGGTCCACTCAGTAACCTGGAAGTGCAAACAGTCCTCTGATCATTTGTAGTGTGCTGATGTAGCAAAAGAAATAGGAAGGAGATAAATATAAAAAACCTGAAAGCTTTTTTCATTGGAACAGATTTTTTTCCTGAAAGGTAACTAGCAGAAATTGCATCTGAAAGAACACTAATCTTCCAACTGAGGACAAAAAGTATAGCCAGGTATTATAATAGTTCATGTGTGAAGAGGATCTTGGATTGTTTTGCCTGGAGAAGAGTAGACTCAGGGGAGACCTTGTTGTATCCTGTTATTTCTGCCTCGTGACAACTTTGTTAATTGGTGATTGCAATCCAGCTCTTTGTGGCAATGTCTCATCTGTGCCAGAGCAGGTGGTATTTTTTAAGCCAAGGTGCACAGGGCATTTGTATCCTGTTATGTGAAAGACATTTATTCAAAAAAGAATTCTTTTCTGCCCAGGGACAAGGGGATTCTGTTTGAAATCTCCAGCTGAATATTGCATTTTGACAAACTGATGGAAATGAGGCAGAGATCAATACTCCCTTATTGAAATAATGCATATAAATTTAAATTTGCAAGGTTCACTACTTGCTTGCAGATGAAAGGAGAACATTCAAATGTGGTTTTAATGGTTCAGCCATGTGATTTGATTGCATTATCGAGTGTATCTCTGAACTGAGTCCCTGACTCTCTTTCTCCCAGGATTATCCCGTTTGTCCGGCCCGTGCGCTACGAAGACGTGCAGCAGAAAGTGAAAACTGCCTTTGGGCAGCCCCTGGACCTCCACTACATGAACAACGAGGTACTGAGCTGTCAGTGCTCTTTGCATGACTCCTCCTTTCCCCATCACAAAGTTCTCTACCCAGAAATTTAATTTTCGGGTCTTTCTTTAATACAAACCGTTGTTGAATCCCTGATCCAAAGGCAAATGTGCTGGTCCTGATAAGGCAGCTCTCTGATGTGTGTGGTACGGACATCAGCATCTTGTTGCCTTGTTCTGCTGTTGCTTAGGACACTGTCTTTCTACATGAAACCCTATTTTCCTGTGATCATTAGTTCTGGATTCATAAGTATTCTGAGACCATTTTCTCATCAGAGAGTCAGGGGCTGACAAGTCCCTGTTCTTTGCAAGCAGCAAATGCAGGTGGGTGGTGCTTTAGAGGAGTTTGCATTAGGGCCAGCCATTTCTCTTACATGGGAGGAAAACCTCATTAAAAAGGACAGTAAGACAGTATTGGAATGAAAATTTGTGGAACAACTAAGCAATTGCAGTCTGATATTTTTCTAATATTTGTTTAAATACCCATTGTATTTAAACAACACATTGTAGAAGTAGACTTTTTCTCTGTCTTTTCTAATGATTTTCTTCCATGCTTTTGATTTGCAGCTGTCTATTCCTTTGAAAAACCAAGATGACCTGGATAAAGCTGTGGATCTCTTAGACAGGAGCTCAAATGTGAAAAGCCTGAGGATACTATTGCTGTCCCAGGACAGAAACCATGTAGGTAACAGCTTCTGGGACTGCACCAAAATCAAGGGGTTTACCTTTAAAACTTAATGCATGCTGGCAGCATTAACTGAGTGCGACAGGGATTATAAAATCACTCTTGCCAGGCACAAATGCATGTGTTGATCCTCTTTGCATTGGCTCAGCTATAGGTGTCTCTTTGTGTTGGGTTTTTTCACTGACTTCAGCAGCTGTTTGGGAGCTAAAACATTGCAGCTTTTTAAGCTGTCATGTGAAGGCCACTTTATATCAAATACCCAGTGGCTGTAGGCAGAAAACACTCAAAGAGTTTGGTTTGCAGAGAAGTTTTATTAGCTTTGATTAATAGCACAGTGTTGAAAATGTGTGGAATCATTTTGCCTTTATATTACGGTTATCCTTGAAGAAAAGTCTTTATCACTTTTCTCCTTGGGTGACAAGTTTGGGGACAGCTTCCAGTGATTTTTCAGCTCTGTAGCCCTAATGCAGAGTCCAGCCTGGCTCTGGAAATGGAGTTGCCTTTGCTAATAGAGGTGAATTCAGACCCAATGTGAACTGGGTTCTCTCTTGGTTCACTCTCCTCTACCACATGGGGCTGTGGCAGTGAGTGTCAATGTAGTTTGCTTTTTTAGCAGACACGATCATAAGATGAGAAATAAATCTTTAAGTCAAGCTCCCAGAGATGCCCATTTTAGACAATGAATGAACTACAAGATGAAGAAGGCAGAAGGAGTCAGAATTTTCCCTTATTCCTGATCTGTGACTGGAAAACACAGTTCACTCAACCAATATCTATTTTTTTTACTTCTGAATAATGTCATGCAGCTTTTCAAACCAAAGACCTCAATAGCTTAGATACTTGATTTGCAAATTACCATTCTCCTGAAGAGTGTGACACAAAAAGCTGCTCTGTTGGTAGTGGCTTGTCAATCTGGAATGTTTATCCCTATTCAAGTTCTGCAGGCTGGAGCTCAACTCTTGAAATAATCTCACCTGTAATTCTTGGCACTGTCATGATAACTTAAATGTACTTCTTGCTATTTTTTAATTTGATAATCCATGGTAATGGAAATACAAATAGCTTCAGGAGTCTTAACAGCCCTTTCCCAATGACTGGGAAGGTGTAGGCGGGGATGATGCTGTTCCTTGTCCTGTGCCCTTTCCCTGAGCAATTGCTGCTGCCTGTTCTCTAGACAACACTTGGCAAGAAGGTCTTTGGTCTGACCTGGTGCAGTCAGACCAAAGTTCTGTGTTGTCAGGAAACATCCTGTGAGAAGTAGCCCCAACTTTTGGCACAGCACGGTCAGACAATCTCTTTCTAGGCCTCTGTTCGTGTCAGTGCCTGCAGGCTGCAGCCATATGTCACATAATGCCATGTAACCTTGCATAACCAGAAAAGACTTGGTAATTCTCACCCTGCGCCAGCCAGCAGCCACTGCTGATGTCCTTTTATTAGCTGTTTTTTCCTCTTTTACTCAAAGCAGAAACAAACAGCCTTCACTAAGTGCCACTGTTTCCCCCCCTCTCGTCCAACTTCCTCTGCTGCTCCAAGTTGCCTTGCAGGAGAGCCCTCCATGGGATAAAGCCCACAGGCCTGGAGGAGGTTTCTTGGCTGCATGATCGCATCCCACTGAGGGAGCGGGAAGCATGATTTTTCCTGAAATATAGGATGCAGATTTTCTTTTGGTCATGCTCTTCTTTTTCTGGGGATGGAAAGGTGACTTTGGCACAAATAGGTACAGAAAGCAAATGAACTTTACTGCAGTAGCTGGGTCCCTTGTACCAGGAGCCTGTGTCTATGAGCAGCACTCAGATTAATTTTCTAGTGCGTCTTTCTGCGACTCATTTCTTTCCTCAGTCAGTTCACCCCTGTTGCCAGTCTTTTTTTTTGTGATGCCCAGACTTGCAAATCATGCACTTGAGTTGAGCTGCACTTGTTTTAGTTCTCTGACTCCTGTTTTACACTGTAATTGTAGACCTGGCTCTTTTGCTGTCTTTTGGTTTGTGTTTTCTGAATTAATAAAGATTTCAGGCTCTAGAACTGTTGCTCAGCACTTTCTTGGTACTAAGCATAATATTTTTTGAAACTGTGGCCAGAATGCTTGAGCTCCTTCATCTCACTTTATTTTGCTTTATTCTTTTCATTTTACCCAACAGACCAGTTCTTCACCCCATTCTGGACTGCCCAAGCAAGTCAGGATTAAAACTTCCCAGTCTGTAGGGGATGTGAGCACACCCTATCAGCAGCCAGAACCCAGAAGCAGGCATCTATCTGTCAGTGAGTATTTTTGCCACTTCTACATGTTTTTGTTTGTTGAAATGTAGCTTTTGGGCACTGGTGTTTATGGACAGCATTTAGGAGAGCCATGAGAAATGGAAAGGTTATTCTGGGACAAGGCAGTTCATTTTCAAAAGCTCTTAATATGTTTACAGTAGAATGTTTCAAAGTTCCTTGCTAAGTTGTGGATCAGCTGAGGAGCTGCTAAAAGGGATGTCCTAAAGCCAGAGCCATTGTGGTTAGGAATTTGGAAAGCTGATGTGAGTCTATGAAGCTTTTTATTTAGATTGGCAATTTCAGTTCATGTAACCTAGATTTGATTTTTTTTTGTCGGGCTTTGGAATCTGTCCTGTCTCCTGTAATCAGGCATTTTGCTAGGAATTACTATTGCCTATCCAGCTAGTGTCCTACATTCTGAGTTGCCTCAACTTTCACTTCTAGAATTATCAAGTGAGTAGAGCACAACACAAAATCAGAGGTACACAAAACATAATTATAAAAATCAGAGTAATATGTACCTTTGTCTCATTTCTTTGGGTTTATATTATCTAAGTGAACTCCTATCTGGGGGAAGTGTTCATGTAAGACTTCTGTAGTTTTTATGACTGTTTTTATGACAGCTATTTTGGGGCTTGTCAGAGCTAATGCCCGAGGACAAGTGATGCAAGTCACACAGAGCAGTACCAGGAGCTGGGAATGCCAGAGTTGTTCTGTTTGCAAGTTCTTCACTGTAGCAAAGGAGTGCTATAGTTTCATTAACTCTGTGAACTTGAGGCAGAATTATTACATGATTTTAGATCAGTATTTGCAGTGCAAAGTATCAAATGATAAATCAGGTTAAAGCATAACAGTCTCCATACTGGGGGGTCCAAACCAGAGTTGGAACCACACTGTTCTGAGCAGAGGTGACTGGGAGATGAGCTCAGAAGGAAGGCCTTGTGAACTAGGGCAGTAGCTCTCAGTGTGGGACTTGTCTAACAAACCTGCTTGTATCCTGTGGAGAGTTTGCTGATCCCCTTCTGTGCAATTTGCTTTTATGAAGCAGCAAACAAACAAGTACTGAAAGTTTGTGAAGTACGTGACTGAAACGGGGACAAAAAGACTTTTACTGTCCTTCCTAGTTTGAAATTAATATGCATAAAAAGAGCAACATTCCTTGGTCCTGAGAAGTGGTATCCATGCATGTCTGAACACCACATTTCTTCTGTAACAGACAAACTGAATGCCAAAATTACTTAATTTAAAATATATCTATATCCATATTCTTCTTTACTGACATTCTGAGGTGTCCAGATAATGGTGCCAAAGCCAACAGACTGTGGCAAGTGTCTGTCATGGCTAAACGGTACAGTGACAAGGGGCCCCTTCTGTATCCCAGTTACACACTTTCCTCTTGTCCCAGCTTATGAATGCTTTCTGAATAGCTTGTCATTCATCAGTCAAGAACCTTTGGGTTTATTTTCTGACCGTGCCAGAGTACCAGACCATTACATTATGAAGAGGTCCAGAAGAGTTCCAGTTGTGTCAGAGGTCTGCTGGTAATTTGGCAATAGCTCGGTCTTGCACCAATTTCTTCTTCCTTCTCTTTTCCTGTCTTTGGTTTGGAGGAGTAGTGTGCCCTGTTTGCTGGTGTTTCAGGCACAGAGGCTCTCCAACTTGTATCGTGTCACGCAATTACAGTCTCAAGCATTATTCAGCTAAAGCTTTTTGCAAGCAGGAGAGGGACCTGTGTGGTTCCTGAGCTCCAAACAGCCCGAGCCTGTTGTCACCACTTTGGAGCTTTGGAAGTAAAGATAACTTCTATTTAAAAGAAAAAAAAGAAAAAAGTTACTAAGCATTCTGGCAGGGCTTGTGTTTTTTCCACTCACTTCCTTTGATACACATGGATTTAGTGCCGACTTCCTTTTCCTGCCCAGGGATGGGGCCTTTCCACAAGAGCAGCTGGGCCGGTGCCAGCAGGCCCTGGGCTCCTCTGGCCATGGCATCTGTCGGAAGGAGTGAAAGTGCTCCCGGGGCTGGGGCAGCCCCACCCCTCCAAAGGGGTTATCCCACCCTTCCAAAGGGCTCCAAAGGGCTCCTGAGCCCTGGGAGCTGCTTGGGACATCATGTGGTAGCTCTGAGCAATGGACTGTGGACCTGGCAATCTTGGCTTTGTGATCTTGTAGGTCTTCTCTAACCTTAATGATCCTGTGATTTTATGAATCCCTTTTTTGTTCGTGTAGTTCACCCCCCTTGCACTCTAAGCTATGCCAGCATTGTTCCTTTTCCTTCTGCAGCCCCCTGAAAGGTGTTTGCTCTGCTTTTCAGTCCACTTCGCCCAGCTCCTTGCCTTCGCTCTTTATTACGACTTCTATAGAAAATATTTTCCTTGGGAGAATATTTGCTGATCTTTACCCATCTTTCCTAGCACCTGAGTACACACAGTTAATTAAAGACAGTGTTGTGAGGAGCACAGCTTGAGAGCTGATCTCCACCTGCTGCCTCTGGCTTCATGTGTGACCTTGAGCAGATTGGCCTAGACCACAGCAGTTCTTGGAGCTCACAGTGGGAATTGGTGGCAGCTGCAGGTGGATAGGTCACAGCAAAAAGGGAGTTTTTTCCTTCCTTTGTCTAAAGTTTCATCTTCTTTGAAATCTGCAAGGAAAAAATAAACCCTAAAAGTGAAGTTTCTCTCAGTAGGTAGCACAAGAGAAACTCTTTCGGTAGTGCCACTAACAGATGATTGAACTGGAATTATGCTCACAAGGTTGAGCAGGAGAGGTTAGAAATAGGAGCTGCTTTGTCAGGAGCTTCAGCAGTAATCACGTAGCATCTCAGACATGAGTAGGGTGCAGTAAGGTCGGGCAGCGTGGTGTTCCTGGTTCCAGGTCTGTCAGGTTCACCCTGGGCTGCTGTGGGGGTGCAGGTTTGCTGTGGAGGCGCTGGGGCTGGCTGCTCAGCAGCGTGGCCAGCAGCAGCGTGGTGCTGTCCCTTGCAGGCTCCCAGAGCACGGGCCGGAGCTCGCCCCCGCCCGGCTACGTGCCCGAGCGGCAGCAGCGCATCGCCCGCCAGGGCTCCTACACCAGCATCCACAGCGAGGGCGAGTTCATCCCCGAGACCAGCGAGCAGTGCGTGAGTACGGCTCGGCAGCAGCCTGCAACACCTGCCGAGGGCTTCTGCTGCCATCTGGGCCCTCTTTTCCTTTCCCAAATACTCACTGCCTGTGGTTGCATCAACAGCTTTAAGTGGTGAGGCAGATGTTGTCCAGAAATTGTGGCTGCCCCATCCCTGGAAGTGTCCAAGGGCAACCTTAGAGCAACCCGATCTAGTGGAAGGTGTCCCTGCCCATGGCAGGAAGTGAAATTGGATGACCCTTAAGTCCTTTCCAACCCAAACCATTCTAGGTTTCTAAAAGTGCTGCTTTGTGCATTTAAACGGCCTCAAACTGTAGCTGTGTAAGTTCAAAGCCTTTGTTGGGCTGCCAGAAACAGTTCCCAGTTCTGGGCATTGCCCCTCCACCTCTGACTGAGCAGTTTCGGAGCTGTCACACATGTGACAAGGTTTCCTATTACCAAGTTTGTGTGGCGCTCTTGCTTTTGAAACTCTGCTGTCCATTCAGAAAAGTGGGAAGTGAGGCCAAAGGGCGACTTGCAGGTGGATGCAGCAGCACCAGCAGAGACTGCTCCTGGAGCCAGCTGGGATCAAAATGCAGCACAAGGCTGCGAAAGTTTGCATTTTTCATAGCAGACTCCTTCAACAACTAAAGCAGTGTCTCAGATTTTATATGAACCTAATTTCTGTGGGAGATAAAGGAAAATTATAGACTCCCTTCTTTAGCTGGACATCCTGCAGGCAAGCAGTTGTGGGCTCTGCTCCTCTGTCACAGCCTCTCCTGGGCCCTGGACTGTACTCATGTTGCTGTGTGGTTTCTTCTGTGTTGCAGATGCTGGACCCTCTAAGCAGTGCTGAAAACTCAGTGTCAGGAAGCTGCCAGTCCTTGGACAGGTGAGCAGCCAGGTACAAGTGTACAAACTGCTGAGAATGTGCGTGCTCAGATGGAAATGCCAGTTGTACTTACATAAAATCCTGTTTTCTATCTCATACATTTTCTTGGAGGGAAACAACTTACTGTATTTTTTAAAGAGCATTAACTATGTCTTAAGGCTGTGTTATTTTCTGGCACAACCACAGACCAGCAAACTGGTGCTTCAGTAGCTTTATGTTATAAATACAAAGTTCTGAAGCGAGCAGCCTGTGTGGAGCCACCCCTCTGAGAACATCTGGCTGCAGGGTATTTAAATCTCTTTTAGACAAGGCTCTACTTGTTCATTTAAAAAATAAAACAACAAAAAAGTACCCCAAACAACAGCAAAACTTACTTTCGCCTTCTTTCTCTATTAGTCCTTCTTTTCGGAAGTCACGGATGTCAAGGGCACAAAGCTTTCCTGACAATAGACAGGAGTTCTCAGGTATGTCTTTGGTACAAAGGTTATTTGATCCGGACATTTTCTGCTCTTGGCTGGCCGCCCTCCCTGCTTGCTGGGGTTGTATAAATAGAAGAAGTAGGGACACGATGATGGGAAAGCTATGAAGTTATTTATTGCCTCTTCCTAAAAACCTGCTGTTACAGGAAAATTCTGTCATTAGAAGTTCAGTTTTTTGAAGGAGCCTCACTTTTGTCTTTGCTTCTCCTGCCAGACCGTGAGAATCAGATCTATGACAAAGCGGGCAAGGGTGGGACCTACCCTCGGCGCTACAACGTCTCCATGCAGCACAAGGACTACAACGACGGTGAGTTGGGCTCCGACCTCCCATGCCAGGCTGGGGAAAAAAGGTGATGCAATGGCAGCCTCTGCTTGAGTGAAACTCCTGTTTGGAGAGCCTGGAAGTGCCCTGGTCCTTGCAATTAGTGCTGAGGTTGATACTGCTGTCCATGATGCTACATTTTCATGGAAACCAACGGTTGTTGTTTGTAATTCTTTGTTTACTTTGTAATTCTTATTTGCTCTGTCCTTTCTGGTGTTATCCAGGCTGAGTAGGGGATTGTGGATGTAGTTGTTAGACGTGGCCCTATATAAGTACTTTCCTACCATAGAGATTCATTGTACTTTGCTAATTTGCATTGCAGACTTGCTTCTGGATCTTTTAAATATAGCAGGGAGTTAAAGAATTACATCTCTGCTCAACCAGATGGCTTTATGCAAAATAATCTCTCAGAATTTCATGAGGTGCAAGTTGGCATAATCTTTATTTTTGGTTTTTATTTTCAAGTCCAGGCACACTATCTAGAAAGTAATTTTATATGTAATTGTTAACAAAACTCTGAGCTTGTGCTCAAAGCCTGTAAGCCAGATTTTTCCTTTGGAAGGTAAGTTTAGATCTTACAGCACTGAGGGCATTACAAAGTGTTCTCTGCCTTCTGCTTTGGGAATGATCCAAAGCTGTACTGAGCTCAGACAGCACCAGCCCTGAGCTGTTATATTCTTGCATCTCTTCTGTGTGGCAGCAGATTCTGCTCCTTGGGAACAGGGCAGAACATGGGATTTCTCTCTTTTCTCCCTGCTGCTCAGCCCCCAGCCATTACCTTCCCCTTGCAAGCATTTATCTAAAAGCGTTCCTTTTCCCCAGGCCGGAGGACGTTTCCCCGGATACGACGTCACCAAGGGAATCTGTTCACCTTGGTGCCTTCCAGCCGTTCCTTGAGCACCAACGGGGAGAACCTGGGCCTGGCGCTGCAGTACCTGGACCCCCGGGGCCGCCTGCGGAGTGCCGACAGCGAGAACGCGCTGGGCGTGCAGGAGAGGAACATTGCCACCAAGTGTAGGCTGCTGGGGCTGCTGGGGCTGCTGGGCATGCCACCAGGTGTAGGCTGCTGGCCATGCCACCAGGTGTAGGCTGCTGGGCCATGCCACCAGGTGTAGGCTGCTGGGCCATGCCACCTGGGCTCGGGGCAGGGAGGGCTGCGAGGGCGAGCTCCAGACCCAGCACATTGCCAGAGCCTGGCTTTAACAAGCCACTACAGCCACATCGTTCCCTGGCTGGGCTTTGAGACTTGTTTGTCACACCCACAGGACAAGTGTTGTTCTCAGATTTCTTCTGGGAGCTGGCCTTTCCTTTAAAAGCACTTCAAATTCAGCTAAGAAGTAAAAATTTCCTTGATCTAGATGATATACAGGGTTCTTAAAACAGGCAGACAAGCTTGTTTATTTTCTTGCTATATTAACATTTTCAGTCAGGCTTTTGGGTTACAGTTATTCTATTAGTTGAGAGCTGTATGTATTTCACTTGCTCCTTTAGTAGAAGGATTTTCTTCTGTATTAATGGCATCCTTGAGTTGTGTTGTTGGACAGCTTTCTATTATAAAAAATAAGTGGAACATAAGTCATTATTGATGAACTGTAGATATCCCATACAGTAATTTAAGGATCAAATGAAGAGTAATCTTGTAGCAGAGTAAGGAACACACTAAAATACTGACTGGCAGTAAATCTGATTAAATTAGACATGTCAAAGCAAATCTCTCAGCTCTTCTGTATTTTCTCACTGTTCAGATGGCTGGTTCTTGTCTTTGTTTTTAGAGTTTCTTGTTATATCCAACATAATTGGATGTACTGAACTGCAGGAGTCTGGTAGTGTTGCTTTCAAAGTTTGAGTTAAAGCACTGATCTCTGAGTAATATGCTTTGGGATTAAGCTCAGTCTGAAAAACTGGGCTCAGGTATTAATCTCTGGGTCAGGAGACTGCTGCTTATGAATGTGAGGGTTCCCAATGCCCTGAGGATGGAACCTCGTGCTGGGCTGTTGGAGATGCTGCTTCACCTGGGTCTCATGGGTATTTTTATTAAGTCTAACTGTTCAGCAGGTGAAGAAGATAGCCACACTGTGCTAACACAGTCCCTACTTTATCAATGTCTAGCAGGTAATTACGACTTCCAATCTTTATGGTTAGAGAGAGCCTTGCAGTAAAATCCTTCCCACAGATGTTAACCCCAGACTAGCTAGGCAGAGAAACTCAGAATAATGTCCTTCAAGTTGTCCCAGAAGTTTAAGTCATTCCCAGCTGGCTGGGATTGATTTAGCAGGGCTAATCCAGCTCTTCTTCATCTGAGGCATGTGATAACTACAGATCAAGGGTTGGAAGCTGCTCTAGTTGCTGCATCATCTCTTAAGGTAATGATTTTGTAGAATCCACCTGCTGATGGAATGAAATTTCACCAACCCCATTGAATAACTGGTTTGTAAAATACATTTGCAGAACGTTTTGTGGTGTAATTTTAATGGGACCTCAGCCAGCAGATCCTTGAGAGTCTGGATGGTTGGATTCTGTTCAGGGCTCTGCCACTAGCTCCTTACTCTGGGAGAGCACCTCATGTTTATTCAACTGCAGAATACCTGGTTCAGTCCCAGTATGATGGAGATTGGTCCTTGAAAAGCCCACCTTTGTTTTTAAACAGTGGAATGAAAAGAGAAGTGATTGCTGTTCTCTTTTAGCTCCGAGCGCCCCGATAAACTGGCGCCGAGGAAAGCTGCTGGGCCAGGGCGCCTTCGGCCGCGTGTATTTGTGCTACGACGTGGACACGGGCAGGGAGCTCGCAGCTAAGCAGGTCCAGTTCGATCCAGAGAGCCCTGAAACAAGCAAGGTAATTCTCACCTCAGCGTCTGAAGCCCTCTGAGGTCCTGTACAATGTCTCTCTCTGTCTGTCCTTGAAAGCTGGCATCTGATTTAGTTCGTACTAAGGTTTCAAGTCATGTGGAGAAGAATAGGAGTCATTTAAAAATTACTTTTCTGTGTTACTAACTTCAGCTTGAAACTAAAATCCATTTTCTGGCTTCATTCTTGGCTCTCCTTTCGCAGCTTTTTGGGTTTTTGCCAGGTTACTTGAGGAATACTAGACTGCCCTGTGTTCCTGGTTAGACATGGATGTGAATGAAACTAAATCCAGCAAGAGTAGTTTTTTTTTTTTTCTTTTTTGAACAAAAAAAGCTGCTTGCACAAGCAAAACCCACTTCTGGGTTTATATGGTACACCCTGTATCGAGTGCATTAATTACCAATTTTCACTTCTGAATTATCTGTGTCCTTAAAAACAATTGGAGCTGTGGGGTGTAAATTAATCAAGAGCTGTGATGTGACAACACTGGGGACAGTGGAGATGGGACTGGCATCTTGAAATTAGGGGACAGCACTCAACTTCCTGCACAGGGGATGCAGCTGGAATGGGTTTTTTGCCAGTGTTTTAACAGTGTACCAGTTTCCCAATATTGAACAAAATCACTTTGAGCTAGAATAACTGATCCATGAAGATTTAATTATTCTGATTTTATATGTGCCAAGATATGTCATAAATTGGGAAGTTCTGCTATGTCTGTGTTGTAAATCAGACAGCAACTCTGAGCCAAGGATGAACAGGCTGAAATATATTTTAAAGGCACTGAAACTCCAAACCTTATACTATTATTTGGTCTGATTAAGCTGCCTCCTCTGTTCCATGTGTGCCTACAACATCCAGGTTCTTGCCCTAAGGTTCTGCATCCTCTCCCGGAGTGAGAGAGCTGAACCTGATACCTTCTTCTGGCAGGGCTGGAAAGGTAAAACTGGGACTAATTTGGGGAGAAAACTTTATTGCTTTTTCTGTAAATCCTCATGCTTCAGTACCTTTGATGTTCCTCCTGTTCAATCCCTGGATTCAGCAAGAACCTAATACTTTTTCTGAGCAGCAAACATTTGTGGTTCCATCTGAAGTTGTTGGGTGACATCTTTGCCTTTGCACTGTGATGCCCTGTTGTGTGTGGCAAGAGCAAAGCAAAGGATCAGTTTCATGTGCAGAGCTGCAGATTCTTTGAAGTAAATCGGAGAGGAAGCTGTTTGTAGGGGTTGATTCCAGTAAATCATCAGTGTGACCAGAACAGGACAGAAGCTCAGCAACTCTCAGCACCTGTTGTTTTGTTCTTCAGTGGGTTGAAGTTCCAGTTCTGTAACGTATTCAGAGCTGCTTCATAATTGCACTCCCTGCCCACAGCTCAGTGAGAGAAGTGAGGTTATACCTCTGCTGTGGGTGGAGAATCTTTTCAGCCACCCAGGATAAAGCCATGTAGATGACATAATCAAGACAAGAAACTAAGTTTTTCTGGTACTAAATCCACACTAACAGTTACCTGCAGATAATGCAGTTAGAATGAACGGGAAGCCCTGGTAATGTTTGCCTTTTCCAAGAAGGAGATAAAGCGATGTCATGGATTACATTTCTCAGTGTAGTGGTGGTCTTATCCTGCCAGTGACATGACAAATTTATTATTTTATTTTTTATATTTATGATATATTTCCTGAGGTTGCAATCTTATTTTCTCCTTCAACATCCATAGGAGGTGAGTGCGCTGGAGTGTGAAATTCAGCTGCTGAAGAACCTCCAGCACGACCGTATTGTGCAGTATTATGGCTGCTTAAGGGATCGAGCAGAGAAGACCTTGACCATCTTCATGGAGTACATGCCAGGGGTAAGAGCAGCAGAGTCAGGGATCAGAAAGGGGGGTGGCTGGGTCTGTTAGCTGGTTTATTGGTTGCTGTGATTCCCCTAACTATGTCATCTGCTGCAGACCCTAGGGCTGTGCCTTCTCACACTCATAATGCCACCACTTTCATTTTATTTATGCCCAAATAATCTCTCTGGTTTTTTCCTTAAGTGTCTTCTGCTTGAAATATATTCTATGTAACAGTCACTAAAGCCAGTTATTTTCTTCATTCTGAATTTGTTCTACCAAAGTTCCTCAAAGGACTTGGGCCAGCATGTAAATCCTGGTAACTGAATTACCAGAATCATGGTACAGCGAGGCTAAAACTGGCTCTCCAAAAAGCGAGGCTTTTGACTCAGATAAGTCTGCTGAAGTATTTTATTGCTTGTCTTCACAGCAATTTGTACCAGCAGACAAAACCTCCTTAAGCTGTTTTTTGCCATGAAGCCTGTCCTTGCTGTTCCTAAAAAGGGCTTCTTAGGGCAAGATGCTCACAGAGCCTCCCAGAAGGGCTTTAGCAGAGGCCAGAGTTCATTGCGGGGCCTGCTGGGTGTGTTAACACCCAGGGCTTTTGGGAGCTGAATGGACAGTGCAAGGTTTGTGCTTTGGCACCTCTTTGCCAGTTTTTTGTGTTTGCTTTTTGGCAGGGGTCAGTGAAAGACCAGCTGAAGGCTTACGGGGCCCTGACGGAAAACGTCACCCGGAAATACACGCGGCAGATCCTCGAGGGCGTCTCGTACCTCCACAGCAACATGATCGTGCACAGGGACATCAAGGGTGAGAGCAGGGCGAGGAGGGAGCTCTCGCAGCACAGGTGCTCTCAGTTTGAGAGCAGAAGGGTTCCATGTGGGCACCTACCAGATAATGGCAACAACGGGCTTCTTGATCTCATTGCAGTTTTGGAGGAAGAATTGGTTTTGGTGTCTAAACCTCAGTTTGTGTTCACATAAAAGCTAAGCTCTAAAGTTTGCTTTTTCTCTGGTGCTTTGTGTTCAAGACCAAGTGGAGATTGACTTGTTTATTGTAGGAGTTCAAAGTGTTTTAATTAGCTACATCTGTTACCCAGCTGACCAGAAAGCAATGCTTGAACTCACCAAAGCAGCATCCCAATAAAACCCTTCTCTACACAGCTCTGTTCTCTCCCAGCCCTTGGCCTGGGGGCCCTGCTAGGTTGGTTGAGCTGTTTACAGGCACTGTAACAATGCTGATGCTGACTCAGCTCTCATTTCCCTCCCCCCTTAACTTCCTTGTGTTTTTCCCTGAAGTTTTTCCCATTTACAGCCATTAGCAATTGGCTTGTCTACAAGCTGAATTAAAGAAATTATGTTTAGCAGGTCACCTGAGGCTTAATGGGGAAAGAATCATACCATGAGCACAGGTATTTGGGCTTGGATGTCGTTCTGCAGGCTGCAGATCCAACAGCTGGATCACATGAAAACAGCTGTCTTCGTTCTTTGCTTCTGTCCAGGTGCCAATATTCTCCGTGACTCTGCTGGGAATGTGAAGCTTGGGGACTTTGGGGCCAGCAAACGTCTGCAGACAATCTGCATGTCGGGGACAGGCATCCGCTCTGTCACGGGCACCCCGTACTGGATGAGCCCGGAGGTGATCAGCGGGGAAGGCTACGGCAGGAAGGCGGACGTGTGGTGAGCCTTGCCCTCGTGCCATAGATTGCTGCACTGCTCCCTGCAGCCAGATAGCACCTTCTGCCATCCAACAGCCAAATTCACACCTTGTCTGGATGAAAAGTTTGGAGAAAATCGAAGTCGCTGGTTTGAATTCAAGGCACAATCTTCTGCAGGCTGTGCTTTGCAGTGTTAACACCCAACAACTCTTTCAGTTTTTCGGAACCAGTTTTAGTTTTTCAGGAACAGTTTCCACTCATTCCTCGCTCAAACTGATAGCTGTTTTTTTGGTTTTCTGGCTGGTGCAATGTTTTCACCCTTCTCGTGCTCTCAGGCACTTTGGTGGAATTCTTGGTCTGTACTATGCAGGGCCAGGATTTGGGATGATGATCCTTGTGGGTCCCTTCCAACACAGGAGGGTCTGTGATTCTATGATACCCCTTAGAAGAGCAACTGAAGGTTGTCTAGGGAAAGCCCATTCATTTAGATATAAAATGAGAGTTATGCTTAAAATGTACTGGAAATTAATAGAATTTTAGCTGTAAAGGAGAGATGCCCAAGCCTGGAATAACAGAAAAGATCCAGGTCATATCAGAAGTGATCTGCATGAATGTTAACTGTAGCTGTGCTATTTTTGGCATAGCCAAGGAGCAGCCTCTATCAAAAGAGCAAAATGGTCCTGTGCCAAAATGTTAATTTTGGGGGCCTTAAAAAGGTGAGATTATAAAACTTAAGTAAACGAAAGGACGAAAGGTCTGGTTGTGCCTCCACAGTAAGGCAGGACCCGTTTCCTGTACAAGCAGCGAGTGGAAACAGAGCTGAAACGTGTCTTGTCTGCAAGGAGTTAAGTCCTGCAGAGTCTCCCAGTTGGGATGCTTGGGGAGAGAGTGAAGCACGTGCCCTTCCCCCTGGGTTGGTGCAGTTGTGGATTTTCTCTTGGTGCTGACATTGGTCCATTCCCATCAAAGCGTCGCTGCCGTTGGCCAGGCTCCAGTTCCTACAATCCCAGTCATTATTTTGGGGGTCAGAATTTTCCAGTGCAACGCTGGTCCCAGGGTTGATGTGTATGGCCCAGAGGCTCAGAAACGTAACAAATCCATCCACCTGGCTCTGTGCCACTGCTGCAGGCCCCTCTCCAGTTTTCTTTTTCCTAAATAGCAGAATATGTGAGCTATTTGTTATTGCTGGAGTGACTTGACATGAAAAACATTCCTGCTGTTTGCTGAATATCTTAAAGAAACCGGATCTGCTTAAACGGTATAAATCAGTCTAAACAATAATATATCCCTGCTTGCTTTTGAGCAAGCCCCCAGCACTTCAGCACACATGGTTTGCATTTTCTGTACTCTCTTCTAGTAAGCCTGAAATGGCTGGAAAACTGTAAAATTTTCACGTTGGATTTTAAACCTTGTAGAGAAATCAGTTCTTGCATATTCACTGCATTTAATTCCTTTCCTCCTTGTCTTGGCAGTTGATGCAAGTCTGTCTCTCAACATGTCTTTTCCTTGCATTTCACCTCAAAAGAATGTTTAGTTTTAAGGTAGAGGAGGCAGTTTTGCCTTTTTAATGTAAAGATGCGATAAAACCACAGGATTGGATATTAAAAACTCATAAATGGCTTTTACTTAATCTGTGGGCTGGAGGAAACAATTAATCCTTTTTGAATAAACCCCAATCAGTGCAGTGCTACAGCAGCCATCTTCCCTGGGAAGGTGTTGGAGTCACGTCCCCTCAGAAAGGTGGCTCAGCCATGTCCCCAGAATCACGTCCTTGCCCTGAAGTAGCCTGCAGAGCCCCATTAACTTTACAAGGAATTTTTCCTTAAGGTAATGATGCATCTGTCCCACAGGAATTTAACTTACTGCCTTCCCAGTTTGGAACTGTTACGACTTCAATTATTTTTTGACTGATGCTTGGTTTCTTGTGAAGTGGAGGTATTATTAGGTTATTTTTTTCCCAACGTGGGCATTTTGAGGCTGTGACTGAAAAGGGATTTTGCTGAAACGGCTTTGTGGGGTCAACAAGCTCTGAATCACTGAACCTTGAGTGTTAAAAAGTCTGTTTTCTACCTTGCAACTCAGCAAGTTGAGCCTCTGAGCAGCCTGGTCTAGTGGAAGGTGTCCCTGCCCACGGCAGGAGGTTGGAGCAGGATGGTCCTGAATGTCCCTTCCAGCCCAGCCCAGCTGTGACCCTGTGAGTGCCTTTGAAGCAGCAGAAGCAGCAGCACCTGGAGTACCAGCGAGGTCAAGCAGTGCCTTCAGGGACATCCCACTGGCACCTCTTGTCCCATGATAACACAAATGTTTCACGAGAGGAGAATTTGAGCAAAGGGGAGCAGGACTTAGGGCCCTTTCCTGGCAGCAGGAGAAGCAGCTGTTGGCAGCTCTGGCTCTGAGTGGGGGCTCAGAGCTGGACCTCGCTCTTGGCTGCTGGGGAGTTCTCCCTGAGCACTGGGCATTATTGAGTGAATTCTCACTTGGTTGTTTCCTGTCTGCTTTGCAGGAGCCTCGGCTGCACCGTAGTGGAAATGCTGACAGAGAAGCCCCCCTGGGCAGAGTACGAAGCCATGGCAGCGATCTTCAAAATCGCCACCCAGCCCACCAACCCCCAGCTCCCCTCCCACATATCAGAACATTGCCGGGACTTCCTAAAGCAGATCTTTGTGGAAGCCAGGCACAGACCCTCTGCTGAAGAGCTGCTCAGACACCAGTTTGCACAGCTCCAGTACTGAATTACCTCCCTTGCTCGCAGCTCCTGCCGGGCTTTCCGTGCCCTGTCTTGTCTAGTTGCAACTGCCCGTTGTGGTGCTGCATCTTCAAAATGCCAACTCAGCCAGGCCTAGTCCTTTGGGAAGTTCTGCCAAGGAACTTGGGGTCTGCTCTCGTGCCTGATTCCTTCGTTTGCTGGACTAACGTTTGTCCTGCCAACAGCTGTCCAAGCAGAGCTGCATTTTTGCTCTGGGTTGCCTGGATGTGACGTTGCAGCCTGGCTGCGTGTTTTCTGCAGGCGCAGGAAGGGGAGTCTGACAAGTGTCATCACTGATTGAACACGGCAGAAATCTGATCCCAGGTGGGAGCTGGAAGAGCTCCACTCTTCAGCAAAACAGAAACATGCAGCAGCCTCCAGACCAGCTCTGCCTGTGGTGGTCCCTGCTTTTCCTCTCCTGAGGCTCCAGAGGCGTCTCCAGCGCCTGAATCCAGCCGAAAGCCATGTGTCACGGAGCATGCACTCGCTATAGTATGGTATCTTTTTCTTCTTGAGTATTCAGCATCTGAAGGTGTTCAGAAGATACTGATTCAAAAGTATGTGAATAGTGTTATTTTATAATGAACCCGTGGATTTGGGGCTGGGGGTGAGGGGGGTCTTTCCAGCTAAATGTCAGGATAATCAGAGAATTTCAGCAGAATACAATCACTCCAGGGCCTGAGGGAAGAGCTCTCCCATTAATGTTGGAAAATCTGGAGCTAGGTTTGATCTGTCCCAGCATTAGGACAGTGCCAGTTAGTTTGTGTCATACCAAACAAATCTGTGCTTCTGCTTCCTCTCTCTGGGGCTGCTGGGTCCAAACAAAACCCCTCTGGAAGGGAATTCAGTGGAATTCAGTTTCCTCCTGCATCTGCCTCTTTGGCTGGTAACTTTTTACCATCCTTTTAACCAAAGATAGTCCATCTGGTGCCCAGGAAATTACTTGAGAGTTTCTTTGAGCACATGGCCTAATGAGGGTTTCTTGGGGAGGATTACCTGGACACTTGTGCTGAGCACAGGAAGCTGGAATCGAGCTCAACCCTTTGCTGTGCGTAGTTTGAATTACAGGTGTGCAAGTGATCATTTAAGAGTTCCATAAAAATGTTATGGCCTAACTTAAATAAGCTTTTGTAGGAGTCAGGTCAAACAGAGAACCTCAGACAACATTTATAATGATAGCAAATATCTAAAATTACCCGGAGATCCTCATGCAGATACCAGCAAAACATATCCAAGTGATTGTGCACTTGGAAGATAGCCCAAGTCAGAGGACTGAGCTATCTCTGTGCTGATTTGGGCACTAATAATCTTTATTTCACTAGTGAAAGACCAGCAGTTTTTAAGTGCTGGGGATTCATGGAGTTATCTCTGAGAAATTAAACTAAGAAAAGCAAATATTAACTAAAATATTGCTTTATAGGGCAACACTGGAGGTGTTCTACTCTTGTATTGGAAACCATATTAAGGTTCCACACACCTTCACTCTTCTCCCCCATAAAAAATTGAAAATTGCTTCATAATGCAGTAAAATTAAGTTTTTAAGTGAATACTAATAGCAGGATAAGGCATGTTTTAATGAAACCAAGTTCCTTCAACACATGAAAAATACTGTGTTGAATTAAAAGAGAAAAAAAAGAACCCTAAAAGCCCCAACCAACCAAAAGGCCTGAAAAGCCTTAATGATATGAAATGTTTTTTCTGTGCCAAACCCAGAGCAAAGTGTAGCCAATAAAAACTGGTGTTGGTTTCCTTTCCAGGCTCCCTGCACTACTCCAAGGATGCACTGTCCCACTTGTGGGCACTTAGGGGATCCCTTTTATGAAAGCCCTTGTTCCATAATTTATTTAATTATAGTGAGAGCACTTCAGCTGATCTTTTCCCAACCAGGAACTTGACTCCAGATTGTCCAGACCCTTGGCCTGACTTTGGCCTGCACTTTGCTGTTGTCATGTGGGCAGGAGAGGCTGTGATGCTTCTGCTGGGATTAGGACCCATCCCTGCTTTTCACAGCTCTGCTGGGACTGGGGACCCATCCCTGCAGTCTGCATGACAAATTAGGGGGGTCAGCACTGCTGGAGAACCAGCTCTTCAAGCCTTGCAACCTAAATATACCAAAGACTGGAGTCTTCATCCCCTGCCCATCACTTGCAGGAATCAGGAGCACGATGACATCTGCAGGGGTTTCCCTCTATCCTTGGCTTGTCCTCACCAAATCCAGACCTTCTCCCATGGTTTTTCTCTTGCTGTCCCACACGCTGTGGTCTGGGAGATAACAGGGCGTGAGGAAACGGCAGAACTTGTGTCAAAGCAGCGCAACCCTCAGGAGCTGTTGTGGCTTTTACCTCACCCACGTCACGGGAGGCGCTTCCAGAGCAGAGCAGGAGCACCAGGAGCGCTGGGCTGAGCTGCCCCCGAGCTCCCAGCCC